AAAAAAATAATAATAAATAAATAAATAAATAAAATAAAAACCAGCAGAAACGCCACTCATTACAACACAATGCGAAAAGGGGAAGGACTTAAGGGAATAACTTCAAAAACTGTTTAAAAAGGAAAGTGAAAAATTTGAAGTTTGTAGAAGCAGAGCACACCTCCTAAACTGTATCCTACTGTTCTCTTCCCCGTTCAGCCAAATGATAGAGTAGGAAAAAACCCTCAGAAACCTCCTTAACACCCAGAAATCTGGAGAAAATCAAAATGTGAGAATCCTTTTGTTTTTTTTCCTCTTCTAACCGGAGAATTTTAAATTGGATGTTGGGTATACATGGCAAACGGGGAAGGGAACAGAGACTGACTGGTGGAATAAGGACTCCAGAGCGCTCCTGAGTCAGAGAAACAATCTGGAGCCCAATGACATCTGCTGTTGGTATAAACCACCCCCAAAAAATGGGGTCAATTCTGATACAGGGCATTTAAGAAAATCTCAGTAACAGAAAGCGGAGCCCACCTCTGTGACTGGCCTCTGAACAGTGCCTCGCCTCTGGCTTTCAGCTGGGTTCTTCTACTGGAAGTCATGAGCCGAAGAGTAGAAGGAGAGAGAACAGGAATGCGGGCATGTGTGTCCCCTCCTTCTCTCCCTTGGTGGTCGCCATGCTGGAAGTGGCTGCTCTCCTCTGCCTAGCGGGCCTACTGGACGCTCTCTCTTCCAGGCCGCAGTGCACACCAGGATCCAGTGATCCCCTCCTCTTGCCTCTCGGGGTCTAGAAATAGACTCCTGCTAGGCCCCTGGGTCCCCAGCATCTCCTCTTGGTTCCCTTAGCCCTGCCTGCACCTCTGTAAAAAATATCGTCATTAAATTCTCTTCCGTTTATTCTTTTTAGCTTGATCCTTTTCAGGTAAATTATTCTGTGAGTGCTGGCTGATTCCACCTGGGGGCTGACGGGATACACCAGGAATAGGGCTGCCGCTGAGTTCTTCTTCCCCCTGCCATCGCCCTGGACTGCAGAAAAGCGAATGAAGCTCAAAACACCCAGACCTCAAATGATATCGTGGCCAAAAACAAAGTCATGTCACAGATAGAGAGAGGAGGGTCAAGAAGTCACCCACTGTGTATCAGAGCAATTTAAGCATAAGCAAGATAAAAGGAAATGCATCAAAACATTGCAAACATGTTACGAAGAAATGTTTTGAAGAAAAACACAAAGGAACAGAGCTTACGAAAAATGGCCAAAAACTCCACCATGTTAAAAATAATCTTTTTAACATTGTGGTGAAGAGCATGAAATAAGTTGAAAGTCCAAAGATCTGTGTTCTTCCCCCAATTCTGTCATGATCCATTTTATGAAATTTGACAAAATACTTAAATTCTCTGGGCTTCATTTCTTCATTAAGAAAACATGGACATGCCTGAGACCTGTTTCATGCAATCAAAATTTAGCCTCCAGAGATGGTATTGGAGACAAATAAGACATGGTCTGGCCCTTCAGCAATCTACAATCTAATTGAGGAAACAGGTAATATAAATGGTATAAATTAATGTCATAAGTATCCTCCTTGAGGCATACAAAATATGCTTTAGAAACCTATGGCAAAAAATGATAAAATTTCCCTAAGGGGATTTGGGGAAACATTACAGAAGGTGGCATTTGATGTGGACCTTGGTGGAGGGCAAGGAAGAACAGGCAGAGAAGCAGCAGGTCCAAAGCCAGGCCTGTTCAGGGATGACCGAGAAGGTCACAGATTTGGAGCATCAGGTGTGTGATGAGAAAGTGATATGAGTGATATGTGTAGCTCATTGGCTACAGGTACGCGGATGCCAAAATGAGGGGGGTTCTGTGCCAGAGCAAAGCAATGGGATTCTTCCATGGACGATGAGCACCCATCGAGTCCTTTAATGACAGCATCAGACTTCACTTAAGAAAGATTATTCTGCCAGCAGGGCAGAGGGTAGGTTAGAAGGCTAAGACAAGAGCCAGGGAGCCCGTGAAGAGGTCATTCCTTAGTCCAGGTGAACAACACCGAGGACTGACCATGGCAATGGCAGGGACATGGATTTAGAAGACCTCATGACCCAACGAGCAAGGAAAAGGCNGCTGCCAACATACCGTGTGGTTTGGCAGACACCTCCTTGCTTTTGCTGGCAGCCTAGAAAAGGAAAATAAAATTTCACATCAAAATGAATTGTTGATATATCAGATTAAGGATTCACTTTAGTCATGGACTAACGACCACATCTGAATCAGCTAGGATGCCAGTACACCATCAAAAGCTAAGACCATGAACTATGTCCCATGACCCCGTTTCCCATCAGGCTGGACAGCTACCCCTCCCACTGCTATTCATTAGGAGACCTCCTTCCACTCCAGTGAGGATGGACTGCATTCCATCTAGGAAATGTGTCATGAGCAGAGGTGGATTCACTGGGAAGGTAAGGAAGGTTAAGCTTCAGAACGCTTTGCTTATACAGGCCCCTTCAAAGCACTGAGAGAGGACCTCGCATGGTTTATTAAATTTTCAAAAGCAAAATAGTTTAACCACTATCTGTTCAGACCATTATTCTTTGCCACTCTAACTCCTCCTCCTTCACACTCTCTTTCATTTTAGATGTAACTAGAGAAGCTGTCGCTATTTATGGAATCTGGACAAGTAAAAGCTGAGTTGGAGAATACGTTTAGTTTGGATTTAATAGTACTTATATAGTTTTCAGTCATTTCAGGAATGACCACAAGGACATCAACTCGTAAGTGGCATTACATCTAGGAGTAGTTACAATTAGTCACAGAACAAGAAAGTTCTAAGAAAGTGCCCTGATACCTTGTAGGTCATATGTGAAAGGTTTTCCCAAATTTGGCAACAGTCCTACATCTTTACATGGCATTACTAATAATGAATCGAGAAGCTGAAGGATATTTTTCTAACCTAGAAGAATAAAAAGAAAGTTAATCAGCAACGCTAGAGGAAAGACTGAATAACCTTTCTATTCCCTCTATAGAAAAAAAATATTATGAAATTATTGATATGCAAGTATGCAGCCAAAAATGTAGGAATAAAAAATGTGTACCGTTCCTTAACAAAAATACTGTTATTTTACTGAATTAATTACTGAATAATGCTGAGTAATTATTGAATGTAATAATCTTCAACTCTTCTAAATTTGATATTTTTTGTGATTCTTTTTCTCATTCTAAGTAAATATTCACTTTCCCTTTAATTTTGTATTTGTAATTTTTGTATTCATTTTCTTTAAAAGGAGTCGTCCCCCCAAAAACCTGGCTCCCTTTTATCATGAGTATTCCCACCTCTCCTGATTAGAGGTCCCTCTTTTTCCCACCCATCCATATGATACTGGACCCTTCACTGAGAAGCAATGTCACACTGGTCAGGGGGTGTGCTCTGGGAGCAGACTGCCTGGGTTCAAATTCCAAAGCTGCCACTTGAGACCCTGGGAAATTTCATCTGTCTGAGCCTCAGTTTCCCTATCTATAAAACAGGGTAGGAACTATAGTACTATAATTGTATGATACTTGCCTCACATCATTTTTATGAGAAATAAATGACATCATCTATGAAAAGCACTTAGAACTGGGCCTGGAATATTATAAGTAGCATTTAAGATTTTCGCTATCATTATTATTCTCTGAAAATAGATTTACTGAACATCTATTACATAGCAACGCTCAAGTTTGCCTCCTCCAAGTAGCCTTCCCTGATCCAATTTTAAATGATACATCTTTTCTTCTCTGGCTCCTATAAGATTTATTACCTATACCACCCAGTCAATGCATGGCATATACTCACCTGACCTGCTATCTTACTATCCAATCTTTTTTTATATATGCATATTATCTTCTCAATTAAATTGTAAGTTCCTTAAGAACATGAATTGTATATTGTACTTCTTTTCATCCCCCTAAGTAGCTAGATCAGTGTCTTCTACATATATGTATATATGCATTTATACATATTGGTATGTGTGTATATACTGGTATATATGTACATACATGTATGTGTATGTGGGTGTATGGACAGTGAGTCTGAACCTCCCTGTTTGTGCACCAGAAGTTTGCTCTCTAGTGACTGGAAAGAGTCTTGATACAATTACTCCAACTCACATTCCAAGATCTCAACCACTGGGGAAGAAACTAGAAATTCAGTGACTCAGCGGGGTGACTAACACTTGAAGTTCATGTCCCTTTCTTCTTCACAATATTGTGTCTCTCTGTGTTGTCAAGAAACAAAGCTGACTCCTCCATGTTCTCTACTAAATGAGAATTCACAGAGAATTCGAATTGAGTATTTGGGGTCTTTCCAAGGCAAAGAAGGCATCACTGGGGATTCACGGAATACAACGTCCTTCAAAGTACTGAGGGAAGATGGCTTCTCATTTCACAATCGAGAGCATCAAGCCTTATCACTGGGTTGTCGGAAAAGTCATGACGCATTTTTGCAACAAAACACATAAAAAAGTACGTCATGACTTTTCCGACAACCCAATATTCTACGTGGAGGAGTTAAAGGCCTTCCACTGAACAAGAATACTAAAATAATATTTTCAGAGTTCTGAAAGATCTTGTAGGTCAGTCAGTCCAACCCCCTTATTTTACAAATAAGGAAAAAAGAAAGTCCAAGTGCAAGCCGCTAAGGGATAGATAGATGAGATAACTTGCACAAGGCCGTGCAGGGAACTCCTCTTAGAGCTGGAACTAGAACTCAGCTCTCCTAACTCCTACAGCACTGCTCTCTCCACCAAGTCAGGCCATGTCCAAGTGGAGAAGTCAGAGGAGGGTGTGTAGAAGTACAAGCATCTCAAGATGCCNGGGGCGGCGGATTGGGGGAAGGGGGTTGTCACTTTGTGAGGGGTGAAAAGTATAACGATTGCATTGTTTTGTACATCTGAAACTAATTTAAAAATAAAAACTCTCCCAGATACTCAGGGCCAGTCACCTGCATCTTTGCCTTGTTGACGTCGCTCAGTGCTGCTGTGGATATGTTGTGCAGAAGCTGCACAATGACAGCGATGTTTCCCGGGATCCGGGGAGAATGCTGGATGTTCTGAAGGATACAGGACAAATCCTTCGGACAGGTTTGCATCAACAGATCTGTAATGGTCTTCGACTTGCTGGAATGTACTTTTATAGTCATATATTGTTCAGATTGTGAAACTGAGCCTGCATTCTAAGAAATGACAAAAAGAAAGAACTCTTAATCATGTGATGTTTGCTTTAAATGTAAAAGTACCTTCACTGAAATGTAGGGCAGCCGCATTACACAACTGTATGTTGCATAATGTTTTTCTATTTGACATTTTCAGAGTCACATCGGCTGTGGAATAACTTGCCCAACACCAAGGTGTCTGAGCAGAAAATGGAAGTCCCAGCCTGCCGGCTGCCTACTCCTGAAACCCTGCTCCCAAACACAACTGTTATCTTTAGCATGCCACTTCAGACCCTTCTGTGGATATGTCCTGTGAATATATCCTGTGCATATAAGTAAACTGCTTGTACCATTTAAGCTTATTTTTTACTCCTCCCAAGAGGCAAAGCATGAGACATAAGCATATTTTAAAAATAGAAATTATGAACTAGATTTGAATGAGTCAACTGGAACACCCAGATAGAAGAATGACTAAAAATAGTGACAGACGGTATCTCCCACAGTTTCAGGCTCTGGGTCCCACACTTTAAAGCATAGGTGGCCAACGATGGCCCCAAGCTGGCTGCCTATTTTTTGTAAGTGAAGTTTTATTGGGACTGATATGCTCATTCATGATGAGTATTGTCTATGCTGCTTCTTTGCTACAATTGCAGAGTTGAGCAGTTGCAACAGCAACCATATGACCCACAAAATATTTACTATTTAACCTTTTACAGAAAAAAAAATGTCAAACCTTGCTTTGGTAGACCCCTTTTTGGTGTTTCTCTAGCCTGCCCCTTCACGCGGGACAAGAAGTCCATGGTCCGGAGGATATGGCTACTCAGATCACAAGGCCCTGCATCTAGACACCTGAATTTTCTACTCGACAACTCCAAGCCCATTTCCAGGGCCTTCCCTAAGTCTGTGCTGCCAGCAGTGTGCTCATCCATAGGCCTGAGAGGTGTCAAAGAGACACCCATGTTCAGGGTTATGGATGTGTGGCCTTGGCTTTCTGCCATCCTCAAGGGGCAGGATAGAATCTGGAATGGGAGGTTGACAGAACATATTTTATTTAACAGCTCCTAAGCTTGATTTAAAGCATTGAACTATTAAGGCATACGGTATGTGGGCCTGTGTATGTATCTTTGCACAGGTCCCTCATGTTATGGGTAGGCAGCTTTTTGAAGTCTGGTTGGGGAACTTTAGGTATGGCCACACCTCCCAATGGGATAGCAATATTGCTAGGACACAGAAATGCTAAAGCATTGACTTCTCTGAAGGAGCCAGGAGCTGAACTTCAGAATGGGAACATCTCCACTAGAAGAGGAGAAAAAGGAACAAAAGAATAAATAATGTTTGGGGTGGCCGGATGGCTCAGTTGGTTAGAGTGTGTGCTCTTAGCAACAAGGTTGCCAGTTCTACTCCTTCATGGGATGGTGGGCTGCGCCCTTACCCCCGGGCCCCCTCCCACAACTAAATTGAAAATGGCAACTGGACTTCGAGCTGAGCTGCGCCCTCCACAACTAAGACTGAAGGACAGCAACCTAACCTGGAGCTGATGGGTCCTGGGAAAAACACACTGTTCCCCAATAAAGGGGGAAAAAAAAGGAATAAAGAATATTTGACCTAATTTTACTTATTAGAATTTAATTTTTTTATGTGTAATTACTTAAGTATACATGGAAATATGTTCATTTATTTGACAATGAAATCCTTCCCTTTAGATCAGCTCTCTTCTCTTGCTTTATGGAGCACAGAAGTTTCCTGGGGATCTTGATGGGCTGCAGATTTGGACTCAGCAGGGCTGGGGTGGGGCCTGAATCCCGAATGACTACAAGCTCTCAGAGATGCCCGGTGCAGCCAGTCAGTGAAGGGCATATTGCATAGCAAGGCTTTAGGGTGCTAAAGAGCTAAGAGTGAAAATAGAAAAGTAGGTCGTGATCATCGTAGACAGCTCTTCTAGCTCTGACCTAAATGATCAGGTTCCTTTGTGTCATGAAAGGGGTGGGATACTGGAGCACACACTTGGAGCATGCCTCAAGTGAAGAATGCCATTCTGTGGAGAGAGAGAGGACATGTGCAAACCACCCACCTGGCACGCTCTCTCCCTCTCTCTCTCTCTCTTATTGAGTGCAATAAGCATTGCTAATTTGGACTCCACTTTGCATGTGAGAGAAAGGGTATTACCTGAAAGAGGCTTAACGCAGTAAGGGTCCGGCAGGTATCATTGATCTTGTGCCATTTCTTTTGCCTACATAAAAACCCCATATTTCCCTGAGTGTCTGGAGGGCAAGGTTGACTGCAGTG